TATTGTTGCTAATTTACCAAATGTGTACCCAGCATCTCCTGTGTGCCAGGTGCTATCGTGTGTATCGTGTGTATTTTAAATCTTTTCATCCATTTAACGTTCATAGCTAAAATGTCCATTTCACAGATGAGGAAATTGAGGCTCAGAAGGGTTGAGGCCTGAGAAGCTCGTCAATGGGGAACCTAGAATATGTATCGTACTGCTCTGGCTCTCAAATCCATGTTCTCAGACTCTGTGCTATGCTGGGAGGGAGGTTAGGAACCACTAGGCTCAAAATCTTCCCATTTTATGTATTATTATTATTTGTTAAGTTTTTTGCCCAGTTGTGCAGCTTGCAGGATCTTAGATCCCTGACCCAGGATCGAACCTCAAACCTTGGAAGTGAAAGTGCAGTATTCTAACCGCTGAACCACCAGGGACGTCCCCCAAACCTTCTCATGTTAAAGGGGGAAAACAGAGGCCCGTAGACGGATAGGACTTGTTTGTGTTTTGTCTGCCTCTGATGCCTCAGGCTTTGTGCTGGGCACCCTTGGCCTTTTACTGGAGGCTGTGACCTTGAGCTGTCTCCCTCAGAATGTGGGAGGCGGGAGGTATACTGGTCTTCAAGGCTCTGCAGAGGGCAGAAGGGAGGGGAGGGGCTGAGTTGGAGTCCGGGAGGGGGTGGGGGTAGTGGGCCGTGGAGACATGGAGGGGAAGACCTCAGAGGGCCCTGCTGGGACGGCGAGTCTAGGCCAAGACCCCCAGACCCCAAAGGTCAAGCCCCATGTAGATCTGGCTTCTAGGAAGCTGGTGACATGGAGATTGTGCTGGGGACACTGGGTCAGCTCCCACCCACCTTTGCCCGCTGCCCAGTAATTTTGGGATGTGTGAGTCATGGGAAGAATGCAGGACAGACACTAGCTGGAATAGGAAAAGGCCAATCCTGTTTTTCCCTGCTTAAGAGTGTCGGCTGGGACCTGTGAGGTGACAGCGCCTGGCGGAATCCCCTAAGAGCTCCGGGAACTGGCTTGCAGGAATCCATTAGCTGCCAGACATCTGGGGAGAGACTTCAGACGTCCCAGGTCTTGGCTGTCAGCCTGGATCTTGCTCCCCCGTGGCATCTGGCCCAACTGGGGACCATTCCTCAAGAGATGGTAAGGATGGAGGGAAGAAGGAGTGGGGGGCATTTTCCCAATCCTGGTCATATAGACTCATTATTTTCAGCATCTGGGAATCAGAACTAGAATTTCAGGAGTGGAATCTTAATACCATCGCAATGGAATCCGCATCGGAATCCCAGACTCTTGGAATTTACTCGGGCAGGTCAACAGAAAGCTTCTGTCAAGGGATCCCCATATATTAAAATTATCACACTCAGGTGAGCTTCCTTGGTAGCTCAGTTGGTAAAAGATCCTCCTGCAATACAGGAGACCCCAGTTCGATTTCTGGGCTGGGACGAGCCCCTGGAGAAGAGTTAGGCTACCCACTCCAGTATTCTTGGGCTTCCCTGGTAGCTCAGGCAGTAAAGAATCTGCCTGCCATACAGGAGACCTGGGTTCGTTCCCTGGATTGGGAAGATCCCTTGGAGGAGGGCTTGGCAACCCACTCCAGGATTCTTGTCTGGAGAATCGCCATGGACAGAGGAGCCTGGCAGCTGCAGTCCATGGGGTTGCAAAGAATCAGACATGACTGAGTGACTAAGCACACACATAGGTATAACCAGAGAAATATAATTCATTTGGTGTATAAAATCAGAAGATAATGATGCTACCCTCGATGCTCCTTAACTGTCCTTTAGTCTGTGGCTGGTTAGTAAGCGTGACACACCCAGCCCATGGATTGATTTTGATCTTATTGTGAAGAAAGGAGTTGATTTGTGTCCAGATAGGGAAAGTAGATCTGAGACACATTAAATGGAAAAGATTAAGCAATGGCACAGGGAATGTTTGGATTTCTGTTTAATGTGTTAAAAGGGAAATACCATTGACTGACTGAGTTGCTTACACAGGGAAAACTCAGATTTGAACCGGGAAGAGCCAGGAAGGGTGGAGTCTCAGGGTGGCAGGAGGGGGTACATGTGGATCCGGGACCAAGCGGCCAACACACGTCTTAACGCTCACGGTGGACGAGGCACCTGTTCAGTTGATGAATTCACCTAACACCCTCTAAGGTGAGTCTGCTGTTCTCATTTCTGCAGATGAGGAAGCTGAGACACAGAGAGGTTTGGTGGCTTGCTCAAAGCCACACAGCTGGTGAGGGCTTGAATTTTTATTCTGTTGAAATGCAGATTCTGATTTGGTAGGTCTGGGGAGGGGCCTGAGATTCTTCACTTCTTCTTTTTTTTTTTTTTTTGGCCACGATATATAGCGTGTGTGGGATCTTAGTTCCCCAACCAGGGATTGAACTCTTGCCCCCTGCTGAAGAAGCTCGGAGACTTGCACTGGACCACCGGGGAAGTCCTGAGGGTTTGAATTTTTAAAGCATGCACATGGCTTCATTTTAGAGATGAAAATAATATGAAGGCGAAGTGCCAAACTACACACACGCACACACACACTGGCTTGGCCTTTTAGCAGCTACTTGGCATGGAGGAGGGGGGAAGGCGTGTGGGGAGGGAGGAGGGGGAAGGGGAGTGCCCCAGCTTCCCTTCTGCCCTTCCTGTTGTGTTAACTCCAGCTGATGCCCTGCAGAGCGCCAGTCAGCCCAAAAGAGTCAGCAGAGAGCCGCAGGGTCGGGTTATTATGACATCATGACATCTATTTTCAACCTGAGCTCTTGATCTGTAAAACAAGCTTTACATGTATTGGCTCTTCAAAGCCTCCCCAAACTGGTGAGGTAGGCTCATCTCCATGACTAGCTTGTCAGATGAGGAAACCCAGAGAGAGACAGCCGGCCGAAACTGTGCACTCAAAGTCACAGAGGCCGGGTCTGCTCAGGCTCACTGGCTGTCTGGCCTTCCAACTCTCCCGAACCTAAGACTTTTGGATGATGATGTTCTAGGGCCTGGAGTTTCAGAGTGGGACTAATTAACACAGTTTGAAACTCAGCTCTGTTACTTGCTTAGCTGAGCCACCTTCGGTAAGTTCCTTAACTTCTCTATGGCCTCAGTTTTCTTGTCTGCAGAATGGGTCTAACAATGGTGTGAAAATCAGAGAGTTGTTATAAGGACTAAATGATATAATATGTAAAGGGGCTTGGAGCAATGCCTGGCACAGACACAAAGTACTCAGTAGATGGTGCTAATAATAATAATAATGAAAGGGGATTTCCTGGTGGCTCAGATGGTAAAGAGTCTGCCTGCAACACCGGAGACCTGGGTTGTAGTAGTAGTAGCTATGATTCTCATTGCTATGGTAGACAATGTCATTTCTCTGCTCAGCACCTTCCCATGGCTCCCATCTCATGCAGAATAAAAGATGAAGAGCTTACGGTACCTATGTAGGCACTGATATCTCTCTTTTTACCTTCCATCTATTCCACGGGAGATGGAGTTCTAACGTGTACCATCATGTTCCCGCCTTAGGGCATTTGCACTGGCTCTTTCCTCTGCCTGAGATTCACTTCTCCCAGATCAGCACACAGCTCCCTCCCCACCTCCTTTCTTGTTGCTGTTGTTCAGTCCCTGTCCGACTCTTTTCGACCCCATGGACTGCAGTCCACCAGGCTTTCTTGTCCTTCACTGCCTCCCAGAGTCTGCTCAAACTCATGTCCATTGAGTCGATGATGTCATCCGACCATCTTGCCCCCCCTTCTCCTCCTGCCCTCCCCCCTCCTTTCTGGTTTTGCTCAAATATCACCTTTTCAGAGAGGCATTCCTTGACCCCTCATTTAAAATTCCACTATAAAGAATTAAAAATTCCTTGTAATGCAGGAAACCTGAGTTCGATCCCTGGGTTGAGAAGAGCCCCTGGTGAAGGGAAGGACAACCCACTCCAGTATTCTTACCTGGAGAATCCCATGGACAGAGGAGCCTGGCAGGCTACATGCCATCCATGTGGTCACACTGAGTTGGACATGACTGAGTGATTAACACTTTCACGTTCACTTTCATCTTGATGAATATTTAAGTTCCAATAGTTTAGATTCTAGAGTTCCAGTTTGCTAACTGGCTAGTGTTCAATGCTCTAGAACTTCACTAGAGCCACTAGTCACGTGTAGCTATTTAAATCAATGAAAATGGAATAAGATAGAAAGTTTAGTTTCTCAGTCACCTTGGCTCCCATTTCAAATACTCAGTAGCCACATGTGGCTGGCAGTTACTGTATTGGACCACAGATATGGACTATTTCCATCAACACTGAAAGTTCGATTGGACAGGGCTGGTCTAGAATTCCAAGCAATAAATGGCTAGCTAGCTACTAAATTCTAAGAATTTAGTATTTTGGAATTCTAAGATTTTTAGCATGCTAGAATTCTAACATGGTGATATTCTAGAATTCCAAGACGTTAATAAGCTGGGGTTCTAACTGTAACACTTTATTTTTTTTAACTGTAACATTTTAGAATTCCAAGATTCTAATGTGCTGGAGTTTTTTTTTTCCTTGTAGTTATTTATTTATTTTGACTGTGTTCAGTCTTTGTTGCTATGCAGGTTTTTCTCTAGTTGCTGTGAGTGGGGGCTACTGTTCAGTTTCGGGGCCCCGGCTTCTCATTGCAGTGGCTTCTCTTGATGTGGCTCATGAGCTCAGTAATTGTGGCTTCTGGGCTTTAGAGCACAGACAGGCTCAGTAGTTGTGGAGCATGGGATTAGTTGCTCCGTGGCACATGAGATCTTCCCGCACCAGGGGTGGAACCCGCGTCTCCTGCATTGGCAGGTGGATTCGTTACCACCGAGCCTCCAGGGGAGTCCTGCCCTGGAGTTCTGACAGTATCCTGTCCTGGAGTTCTGATGTTGTCCTGTCCTGGCTTCCAAAATGCTAACGGGCTGGGGTTCCTATCCACTAGGATTCCGAGGGCCTGAGAGTCTTCATCTCTCTGAGTTTGCACACCATCGCTCGCCTTTGCAGGTGTCTGCAGCCTGGATGGAGAACACGTCTCTCGGCAACGAGTATGGGGATTACGGCGACATTCCGGATCTCCCGGTGGACTGTGCTGATGGCTCCTGCGTCTCCGTCGACCTCCTCCACGCAACCCCACTCCTGCTGTATGCTGCCGTCTTCCTGGTGGGGGTGCCGGGCAATGCCATGATGGCCTGGGTGACCTGGAAAGAGGCCCGCCAGAGGGTCAGTGCCATCTGGTTCCTCCAACTGGCCGTGGCGGACCTGCTCTGCTGCCTGTCTCTCCCCATCCTGGCAGTGTCGGTCGCTCACAAGGGCCATTGGCTGTACGGGGCAGTGGGCTGCCGGACCCTGCCCTCTGTCATCCTGCTGTCCATGTATGCCAGCGTCCTCCTCCTGGCCACTCTCAGCATGGACCTCTGCCTGCTGGCCCTCAGGCCCATCTGGTGGGGTGCAGCTGGGCGGGCATGCAGGGTACGGGCAGCCTGTGGGGCATGCTGGGGGCTGGCCCTGCTGCTCACCGTGCCCTCGGCCGTCTACCGCCGGCTGCATCAGGAGCATTTCCCACGCCGGCTGGAGTGTGTGGTGGACTACGGTGGCTCGACCCTGGCAGAGAACTCAGTGACGGCCATCCGGTTTATTTTTGGCTTCCTGGGGCCACTGGTGGTCGTGGTCATCTGCTATGGTGCCCTCCTGTGTCATGCTACCCGACGCTGCTGGCCACTGGGCCTGGCCGTGGTGGTGGGGTTTTTTGTCTGCTGGGCCCCCTACCATGCGCTGGGACTGATAATCACCATGGCGGCCCCACACTCCACACTCCTGGCCCAGGCCCTGCGGGCTGAACCCTTGGTGGTGGGCCTGGCTCTTGCTCACAGCTGCCTCAATCCCATGCTTTTCCTCTATTTTGGGCAGGCTCAACTCCGCCAGTCTCTGCCAGCTGCATGTCGCTGGGCCCTGAAGGAGCCACAGAGTGAGGATGAAAGTATGGTCAGCAAGAAATCAACCAGCCACGACCTGGTCTCAGAGATGGAAGTGTAGGCTAGGGGGAAATTGGTTTGTACCCTCCTATCTCATTTTACAAGATGGGCTTCAGGCATAGCTGAATCTAGGAGCTTAATGATATTGCCATTCATTCTTTTATTCATTCAACAAACATTTGTTATGCCCCTGCCATGAGCAGTGCAGATATAAAACATTTCCATCATTGCAGGAAATTCTATTGGATAAGGTTGCTCTAGAATATCACCTGTTCAGATCTTTGAAATCACACAGTAGTGATACCTTCTTAACTCCAGGACAGCACTTTACACATAGTTTCTCCTTTAAGGTAATTCTTACAACAACCCAGAGGTCATTTGCCCAAGATCACACAACAAGGAAATTATAGAGCTGAGATTGGATCCCATGTTTACCTGACTCTAGTATCCATGCTCTTGATCACTGAAAATTTCCTTCAATGGCTTCTTCAAATAGTACTTCCTCCAGGGAGGTCTCCCTGATTCAGTCCCCTCCCTGGGGAACAGAACATTCTGTTCTCCAAGTTTCTGGAACAAAAGTTCCCAACTAACCTGTAAATTTTCCAAGGACAACATCTGGGCTAGTTTAATTTCTGTCTCGCCTCCACCCTTCCCAAACTTTAAAAAGAGCCAAACTCTGTTTGTGTACACCCTGTTTTCTTCCAACTAGATTGTGAGCTACCCAATGACTGGGATCTTTTTGTTGTTTTTTTAAAAAAATCTGATACAGGGACAGGTATTAGGTCAACAACACATATTTTATTTTTTGATATTATATTCAGCATTCTCATGGAGAAGGGAATGGCAACACACTCCAGTATTCTTACCTGGGAAATCCCATGGACAGAGGACAGAGGAGCCTGGCAGGCCACAGTTCATGGGGTCACAAGAGTTGGACATAACTTAAGAGACTAAACCACCAGAATTCTCATGCATGATCCAAAATTGCCTTATCAAATGAATCCTGTCCTGGGACAATTTATGTAACTTCCTGAAAAGTTGAAAGAAAGCTTGCTGTTAATCCACTGGGGCCAGGTGCCATTTAGGAGAGTTCTTTGTACATTTGTAAATAGTCTTTTGTATTTTTGAAATTTGTTTTCCTTTCTTATGGCATCAGTGTTACTTCTTGTTAAAAAGAATCAATTTCATGAAAGCTTTGAGAGTCTTTCTGAGCAATTTTCCATAACAGTCCCTTGATTATGAAAAATAACCTTGCTTTTGGTTTGTTGTTAACTTCCTCCTTTTGTTCTTAAGTTTGTTATATGGTTTTTGTTTATTTTTAGCATGAATGTATCAAGTTCTTTAGGTTTCCAATTAGAAGTTTCCCCCAGAACTAGTTTCACGTTTTCTACTCAATCCTTAGCATTGGTAGTTTGTTATTTTCTTCCTAACTTCATATATGTTGTTTGCTTTCTCCCATTTTCATTTTTTAAAAATTGTAGTTCTCTTTTGTACATTTTAAGCAGATGTTAGTCAATTTCTTCCCCTTCTTCTTTTGATAATGACACAATTGGCCCCTCGATGTTCTAATTGCTTCCTAAGGATTCCATAGTTACATACAGCTTACCACTTGACATCCCAACTCATTGTAGAATAACTAACTTAATATGCTCAAAACAGAAGTATGGATTTTCTCTTTTAGCCATCCTCCTGCTTCTTTTCCATCCCAGTTGATGGCAACTCTGTATTTCCAGGCGCTCAGGCCAAGAACTTTGGGCCACCTCTCTTTCTCTCATACTCATGGTCCATGGCCAATTTATCAGCCAATCCCTGCAGATTCTATCTTAAAATATCCATCTTCTCCGCCATCATCCTGGTCCAGCCATCTACTGTGGCAGCCTGCTCCCGGTCCCCTCTTCTTATCTTAAATCCCTATAGTTTGTTCCCCACATGGGAGCCAGAGGACTCTGTTAAAATCTAAGTCACATGGAGCTCTGCCCATGGATTCCACCTCACTCAGATTGGAAGCCAAAGTCCTCACTTCTAGTCTCCTCCTCTTTCCCACCTCATTCCCTACTGTTCTCCAACCTTCATCCAACTACACAAGCCTGCTTGCTGACCCTTGAACCCTCCAAGTTATGTGGTCATCTCAGTCTTTGGCTCTGTTGCTTCCTCTACCATGAATGTTCTCGCCAAGGGGTCCCCATGGCCTGCAACAGCGTTTTTAGTTCTTTGCCTAAATGCTACTTTCTGGCAGAGGTCTTCTCTGACTGTCACTGGACCAAAGAGCATCACTCCTTGTTCCTTCCCTGCTTTGTTTTTCTCCACAGAAAATGCAGTTCTGCTTGACATTCTATATATTTATTTTAATCTATGTGTCTGTCTCCCTCACCAAAATATGAGCTCCTTTGTTTTGTTCATTTCTGTACCCTCAGTGCCTAGATCTGATTTTAGAAATGAAAGCTGTACCTTCTTAACCACAGCACTATCCAAAGGAAAAAGGAGAATGATGCGAAGGGTATGAAAAATGAAAGATTTAACATTTATCAAGCTGCTGCTGCTAAGTCGTTTCAGTTATGTCCGACTCTGTGCAACCCCAAAGACTGTAGCCCACCAGGCTCCGCCATCCCTGGGGTTCTCCAGGCAAGAACACTGGAGTGGGTTGCCATTTCCTTCCTCCAATGCGTGAAAGTGAAATTGCTCAGTCGTGTCCGACTCTTCCCAACCCCATGGACTGCAGCCTACCAGGCTCCTCTGTCCATGGGATTTTCCAGGCAAGAGTACTGGAGAGGGTTGCCATTGCCTTCTCTGATTTATCAAGCGCCTATATGTATAATAGTGAAAAAAGTTTAGATACCTTATGTATACTCTTGCATTTGTTTTTCCCAACAATCTTGAAAAGTAGGCATTATCCTCGTTTTATGGAAACTGAGGCTCAGGGCCACAATGACTGACCCATCTAGGACTAAAGAGGACTCACTTTTCTCCTTCAAGTAGTCATTCATTCAACATTCACTGACTGTCTAATCCCTGCTTTTGTCTCTGGGGAACATAGGACCTTCAAGACAGAAAGTTGGGAAGTTGAATTGTATTATTCATTAATGAATTGGTAGGGTGAATTATACATGAATAGATTGCATTAATGACTGTGAATTATAATACATCAATGTAAAGACCCTGAGACTGGGAAAGATTGAAGGCAGGAGGAGAAGGGGACGACAGAGGACGAGATAGTTGAATGGCATCACTGACTCGATGGACATAGTTTGAGCAAGCTCTGGGAGTTGGTGATGGACAAGGAAGACTGGCGTGCTGCAGTCCATGGGGTCACAAAGAGTAGGACACGACTGAGGGACTGAACGGAACTGAATACATCAGTGTATTAATAATTAATACATTAACAATATGAATTATAATAACTAAATCACGGGGAGGGTGTTCTGATAGTGTCTGGGCTCAGGCCAGCGTCCTATTTTGGCTAAACCCCGGCGTCCAGGCGACCCACAGATGCAATTAGATGTTCACCGGCAGGGTAGACCAACTCTCCACAGTCACGCCTCCACTTGCCCCCAGAGGGCGCAGCGTCACCCGAAGCTCCGCCCAAAGCGAGGCGGGGCCTGATCATTCTGTACGCAGGCGCAGAGTGAGCCTTGGGCGCTCGCAGCTGCTCATTGGTTCCTCTGTCCGCCGGAATGGCGTGCGCAGGCGCAGGACCGGCTTCGGGCGCGTGAGCGGTCCTGGGGACCGGAAGTTGAGGCGATCTCGGCGGTTAGAGAGGTGAGGGGGGCGGGGCGGCTGCGTGGGGCGGCGGTGGAGGCGACTGGAGCCCGATCGGGGTCGGGGACACCTTGGGAGAGGGATGAAGGGAACGGGGAAACCCCGAGATGAGGCACGGTGTTGGAGGAAGCCGAGCAGCCGGGAGAAGCAGATGGAGATGGAGCCTGAGCGTTGCTAAGAGAACTGAGGGTCAGAGAGGTTGAAAGAAATGGAGGCACAAAAGGGAGTTTCGAGAAACTGAGGGACTGAGAGACGGGGAGGTTGAGAGAGGAGAGAAGCTGAAAACTGGAGAGACAGAAGGCAAGAGATTAATGGATCAGACGAAGAGAGGCTCACAGGGTCCACGAGAGAAGTGTGATCGCACCGTGAACTTGGGAGATGGAGAGAAACGTAGAACGATGAGAGTGGAAACTAGGGTTTTGAGAAAAGTGTCTATATGTGTGTGTATGATGGATATGTATGCATATAAATATATATGAGTGACGTAGAGTAGTGCCTGATATGTGTCAGCCCTAAGTAAATGTTGGCTATTATTAGAGCTTCAAACTAGGTGACAAAATTCTAGATGGAGAAATGGAGTCAGTGATGGAGAGAGAAGAAAACGGAGAGTCAGGAAAAAAAATTCAAACAAAATGAGAGATGAAAAACTGAATAGGAGGAGTGGAGTCAAATGGATAAAGACAGTTGGAGAGAAAATAAGAGTGAAAAACAATCAGGGTGGGAGAGAATCAGATAAATGAAAAGAGCTGGGACCAGTCAAGGAGAGGGAAGAGAGGTAAGGGTGGTGAGCAAGATGGGCCAGAAAAAAGACAAGAGACCTGAAGATGGAGAGCCAGACAGGAGAGATAGGGAAGTAGAGAAAATCTCTAAAAGCCTTGAGCCTAGGAAATAGAGACCAAGAGATGGTCAGAGGCACAGTAAGAGAGAAACTAGTCAAGCCAAGAAGTCCAAAGGATAGCCTAAGAATAGACTCCTAGAGAGCCATAAGGATGCCCTCATTCTGGCTACATAAGGCAGTTAGCAGCCTGGGAGGAATGCTCTCCTCCATTTCATCGTCCCTGTCTTTTTCTGGGACACACTGGCCCAGCATTGCAACACTTTCAAGGCTTTTTCCTTTTTGTTCCCTCCTACAACAGAAATTCCCTCTGAAGGTTCTATGGCATCGCCCAGCCCACGTGTTTACCAGGAAGTGCTGGGCACTCCCCATAGGCTACTCTTCTATGGGAAACAGCTCTGGCAGTCCACAAGTTCTTCAACTGGCTCTTACCTGGCTCTAATAACTCCCAGGGTTGGTCTGGGTCCCTCTGAGACTATAGAGATAGAACCTCTGAACTCTGTTCTGTGATGGCCCTCAGAAACAAGGCTGAGTAGGGGAAAGCATTGCTAATAAACCAAGGTGAACTGTGGCCTTTTGAGTGTAAAATTTTTTCCAGGTTGTATGCCTGTGGTTCCTCTCACTGTTTTCTCTGTCAGTCATCATGGAGAGAGAGCACTGGGCATGTATGTCAGTTACTGTTTAGCTTCTCTTGTGTCAGGCTAGGTAATACACATTGCAGTGTTTTGAGATGGGATTGTTCCCATTTTACAGATGAAGAAAACCTCAAAGGAGTTAATTTGCACTCAGACACATGTCTGGTAAATGATAAAGCTGAGGTTGAAATTCAGATCTACCTGACTGTGAAGTCTTTACCATGGAAGGCTGGGAACCCTTTTGTCAATTTTTTTTCATTAATTTTTTTGTTTGTTTGTTTTGGCCATGTTACACGGCATGTGGGATTTTAGTTCCCTGATCAGGGATCGAACCTGTGCTCCCTGCATTGGAAGCATGGAGGCTCAACCACTTGACTGCCAGGGAGGTCCCTTAGGACCCTTTGAAGATCATAAACTCCTCTAAGAGTCTGAGTGATGGGCTTCGCTCCAGAAAATTAGCATTTATACAAGGGGATGTGCTTCATTAGTTAGGAGTTACACAGCTAAGAGAAACCAGACCTTAAGCAAAAAGACATTTTTTTGTGTAGCGGTGAAATGGACTTTTGGAAGGAACTAAGCCTCAAGCGCTGAATGGTGTTGCCAGGCTTCTCCCCTGTCCCTCTTCCACTTCTCTCCTTGTGGTTGCTTGGTGACCATCCTTGTGTGTGCCTCCTTGTGCCCACATGCAGTCTTTTCTGTAGGAAAGATTTCTAGGAAAAGACTGTTTAAGACCTGCTACAAACAGCTCCCTGCTTATATCATCCTTGCTTAGCCAACAGCAGATAAGCTTTTCTCTCCTAGCAACCTAGTGTAAATTCTTGGGAAAGGCCCTGATTGCCTCTCCTAGGGTCATGTGTCTACTCCTCAGACCAGTCACTGGTTAAAGGGGGAGTACCATGATTGGCCAGGCCTTTGTCATTTGCCCAACCAATAGACGTTCTCAGACTTATAGGCAGTGGAAACCATGTAGAGTCCAAGAAGGGCTACTCTCCCAAGGAAAGTGCATTCGTTTTTCAGAAAACAAACAAAAAAAAAAAACCAAAAAAAAAAAACGGGAAGTGCCAGGCAGGCAAAAACAAACCATGCAACACTTGCAAAATCGTGCACTGAATTTCAAAGGGTTTGCGGGGATCCTGAAACTCAGTAGACCACATCTCTCTCATGTTATTGTGTCTGGTGACCAAGTTCTGCTGCTGACTGGCCATGTGACCTACATTCCTTCAGGTCCAAAATCCCCTTCTTGGGGATCCTTCCCTGACTCCCAAGCATGGTCAAGGAAGGCTCCTGCAGTCCCTGGGCTTACTTTCTTGCTGCCCCCATCTCTGGATTGTCAGAGTCTGGTGACAGGACCCGCTGTGGGCACTCAGTGTGGTCTTACCCATTGCTGTCCCTTCCCCTAGTCCAGTGCTTGCAAAACAGCAGGCTGTCAGTAAATGTTCCTATAGAATGACTGTCTTCTGTTTTTTCCCCGCAAACATCCAGGGCCTGCAGTCCCAGGATGAACTTGTGTCCATTCCAGAGGTCACCACAGGAGTCGTGAGGTGCCCTGTGCATCACCAGCTTGACCCAGGCTGCAGGCCATTTACTCTGCCAACACCTGTGTCGATGCTGTACCACCACTGAAGGGGAGACTAGCTCTTGGAAGAGAAAGTGCTCCCTTTCAGGCACTGGCCTGTCACTGCAGGAAGTGGGGAATGTCCGAGAATATTTGGTCCAGGGGCTCAGAACTGAGGCCAGTTTTGTGACAGCCCTGGAATTGGCCACGGCATGCCGCTTCCCAGAACAAGGGAGGGCAGGGGTCCCCGGGACCGACCCTGGGCTCCCAGTCCTGAAGAGGCCCCAGAGAAATGGGACTGGAATTGTCCAGAGACACGGCGCCTCTTCGAGGATGCCTTCTTCGGCGATGAGGATTATATCCGGCAGGGTTCTGAGGAGTGCCAGAAGTTTTGGACGTTCTTTGAACGCTTGCAGAGATTCCAGAATCTCAAGACCACCAGGAAGGAGGACAAAGACGCCAGGCGGCCCAAGCACAGCCACCCAGCACTGGCTGACCTCCCTCATGCTTACGACCCTCGCTACCGCATCAACCTCTCCGTCCTCGGCCTGGATGCTCGGGACTCTCGGGGGCTGGGCAGGCGCCTGCCCCCGGAGAGAGTGTCTGAGTTCCGCCGAGCCCTGTTGCACTACCTGGACTTCTGCCAGAAGCAGGCGTTTGGGCGACTGGCCAAACTGCAGCGGGAGCGGGCGGCACTGCCCATTGCCCAGTACGGGCACCGCATCCTGCAGACACTGAAGGAGCACCAGGTGGTGGTGGTGGCAGGCGACACAGGCTGCGGCAAGTCCACTCAGGTGCCCCAGTACCTGCTGGCCGCCGGCTTCAGTCACGTGGCCTGCACCCAGCCCCGGCGAATCGCCTGCATCTCGCTGGCCAAGCGAGTTGGCTTCGAGAGCCTCAGTCAGTACGGCTCACAGGTAAGTGGGGCAGAACAGGCTTCCAGGTTCTCTCGCATAACCTCGCGGGATAAGTTAATATCAATAAAGTTACAAAAACACTACCTTTTTACCTAGCAATGATTCTCCTAGAAATTTCTTTACAGATTGGCCTGGATATGGTCCAGATGACAGAGGTGCTAACAGTAGCCAGTTTAGTACTGTAAAAAAAATTGGAACTGTAAAAAAAATTGGAACTGTAAAAAAAATTGGAAATGCCTAAATGTTTATCAGTCTTTCTTTAGGCAGTCAGAAAAAAAAGAATGAAGATGCTTCTTACTAATGATGTCTAGGGTTCTGATCCTGGCTTGACCACTTAAAAATTGTTATTGAGACTTCCCTGGCAGTCCAGTGGTTAAGAATCCACATTCCAACGCAGGGGACTTGGGTTCTATCCCTGGTCGGGGAACTAAGATCCCACATACTATGGGACCACTAAGCCTGAGTGCCCTGACTAGATAAACACATCTGAAATTGATGTGTGTATGATGTGAGGTAGGGGTTAAGATATGTTTCCTCTCAATAACATTTTGTAGCTGGTTTACTTTGGATGACTGGCCTCAGTTTTTCCATCTGTGAGATGAGGGTAATAATAGTGCTTACATTGTATGGTAGTTGTGAGGATGAAATGAGTTGATATACATAAAGATTTGAAGTAGTTCCTGGTACATAGAAGGGACTCAAGAAAGGTTAATCATTACTATTATAACTAATTAGTATCATACACCAGGCTCCATGCCAAGTACTTTATGTGCATTAGCACATGTAATTCTCACGGCATCTGGAAGGAAAAAATATCTGTCTCCGGGATGGAATTGCCCAAAGTCGGCAGCGCTAAGTGGCAGAAGTGACATCCGAACCCAAGACTGTTGGTCTCCAGGCTCTAATGCGGGACAATTGCTCAGGTTTTCAGTGTGAGGAGGGTCAGGGGCTACGGGACAGGCCCAGGGTCCTCTCTGACCACCCCCACACCCCCCACCCCCAGGTCGGTTACCAGATCCGTTTCGAGAGCACGCGCTCAGCGGCCACGAAGATCGTGTTCCTGACGGTGGGGCTGCTCCTCCGGCAGATCCAGCGGGAGCCCAGCCTGCCCCAGTACCAGGTGCTGATCGTGGACGAGGTGCACGAGCGGCACCTCCACAACGACTTCCTCCTGGGGGTCCTCTGGCGCCTGCTGCCCCAGCGGCCTGACCTCAAGGTCGTCCTCATGTCGGCCACCATCAACATCTCGCTCTTCTCCAGCTACTTCGGCAACGCTCCCGTGGTGCAGGTGCCGGGGCGGCTCTTCCCCATCACGGTCAGTGCTGCCCACGCTTCCCGCCGCCCCCCCCACCCCACCCCCAAGCCCCGGGCTCCCCACCTGGTCCCCTGCCAACCTGGACATGTCCCTTCTCTTCTCTCCTCTGTTTCCCATCTCTGTAATTAATGACCTTCTCTCTCTTTCTGAAGTTTTTCTGTATTTATTTTTTGGCTGCTGCACTGATGCAGCATTGTATGAGCTTCTCATTGCAGTGGCTTCTCTTGTTGCGGAGCACCGACTACAGCTCAGACTCAGTAGCTGCGGCGCACGGACTCAGTGGCTCCGTGGCACGTGGGATCATCCTGGCCCAGGGACTGAACCCGTGTCCCCGGCATTGGCAGGCAGATTCTTATCCACTGTGCCACCAGGGAAGTCCTCTCTCTCTCTCTCATTTTTTAAAGCTGCTATTTTCTGGGCATTTGCAGTGTCCCAGGGAGAGTGCTAAGTGCTTGTTAGAGGAGAGCCCAAAATTTAAAGGCTCAAGTAACACAGAAATTTTTCTTGTCTCACAGGATAGAAGCAACTGGCCCAGGTTGATGGGCAGTTCTGTTGCACGTGGTCATCCAGGGACCTGGGCTCCCTTTCTCGTCACTTTACCGTCCCCCGGGGCAGGGTTTCTCAGACTCAGCACGGTTGATATTTTGGGCTGGATAATTCTTGGTTGTGCCCTACAGGGTGTTTATCAGCATCCCTCAGAAGTGGCAGGGCCAGGACTTAAATCCTGCTCACAGATAGACGTGGCATGGGGCCGGGAGCTTCTGTTTGCCCTTCAGATCTACTGTGCCCTTCCCGACATTCCTGTCTGCCCCGGAAGGCACTAACGGACCCCCCTCCCCTGGCTTCTCCTTGGCCAGTGGGAAAAGGAGAGGCAGCCCCCTCCCTCGAGGTCTGCAGTGGCCTGAGCCTCACAGCTCCTTCCAAGATGCCTCTCTGCACAGTCCTCTCCTTTATGGTTTTGATAACTGCTCCTTCGTCTTGTTCTTTGGGGCCAGGGCTTGATGACAGCTCTGAGGCTCCTAGCGGCAGGAAATGCAAAGTTCCTTGTGGTTTCTGGATCTCGGTGCCCATCAGTCTGTCTTCTAAGTAGTCATTAAAAACACCGAGGGTGCTTTCAGAGAAGTGATTTTGAGGGTTTTAATCCCGACTCCACCCCTTAAAATTTTGTCATTGTTGGAGTTATACTCCAACTACAGAAGATTTACGTGTATCACAAGTGTACAGTTCAATTAATTTTCATAGATTAAATATCTCAACAGGGACTTCCCTGGTGGTCCAGTGGCTAAGACTCCAGGCTCCCAATGCTGGGGAGCTGTGTTTGATCCCTGGTTAGGAACTAGATCTCACATGCCGCATCTAAGACCTGGCACAGCCAAATAAATAAAAAATTTTTTTTAGTTTTTATCACAAGAAAACATTTAAAAAAATAACTTGAATGGAGCCAGTATCTAGATGAAAAGGCATGAAACATTACCAGTACCCCGGAAACCTCCCAGTTGCCTTGATACTTTGTCCTTTTATCATATCCTCTTCAAACTGCCCTATTTGGGACAGTTTGTCCTCTGTCCTTTGCTGCCTGGATGGTCTGCGACCTCTCCGTCAGCCATGGCCTCCCCGCCCCGATGTCGGAGCTGGAGTGACCAGGTCTGCTCCTGCCTGGGGCCATCTCCTCGCAGGTCGTGTACCAGCCGCAGGAGGCCGAGCCGACCACGTCCAAGTCGGAGAAGCTGGACCCGAGGCCCTTCCTCAGGGTGCTGGAGGCCATCGACAATAAGTACCCACCCGAGGAGCGGGGCGACCTCCTGGTGTTCCTCAGTGGCATGGCGGAGATCAGCGCCGTGCTCGAGGCAGCCCAGACCTACGCCAGCCACACCCAGCGCTGGGTGGTGCTGCCGCTGCATAGCACCCTCTCTGTGGCCGACCAGGACAAGGTACGGAGTGTCGGCCGGCGGAGGGGGCTGGGGGCGTCTTGCTGTGTAGCCAGAGGAGGAGCGGCTGGGGCAGTGGATACAGGACTGAGGCAACCCCACGACCCCGGGCTGTGGGCTGCAGAGAGGGGCCGCTCACATCTTTTAGCTGGGGGAGGATGCGTCAGGGTGAGCTTCCTGATGAGGTGGGGGGCACTGCAGCTGAGCTTTGGCAGACAAGAGAATTTTGAGTAAGAGAAGAGGAAGGAAGGCAGTCTGGGTCGGGGGAACTAGCTTGAGCAAAGGCCTGGACATGGGCATCTGGGAGTCAGGTGTGGGGAAAGTGAAGAGACTGCCTGGTTGGAATGGACGGGTGCTGGGGGACCTGGCTTTGGGTCAGTGTCGGTCTAACAAATTACCCCAAAACCTAGTAGCGTGTTCACTGTTACATTCATTGGCTCACATAGTTTCTGTCAATCAGGAATCTGGGAGGAGCTTAGCTGGATGGTTCTGGCTCCGGGTCTCTCAGGAGGTTGTGGTCAGGTGTCACCTGGGGCCGCTGTCATCTGAAGGCTTGACTGGGGCTGGAGGATTCTCTTCTGAGATGGAGCACTCACTCACATGGCTGGCTGTTGGTTAGGGGGCCTTTCTAGGGGGCTGCTTGAGAGTTCTCACAACGTGGTGGCCAGCTCTTCCCAAGAGACCAAAGTAGAAGCCACAGCATCTTTTATGACGTAGCTGTGGAAATCACAAACCATCACTCCTGCCCTGTTCAAAGGAACAGTACTGGGTGAGGCTGTGAATCCCACGAGGTGAGACTGCCCCGGCCATCCTGGAAGCTGACTGCCATAATCACCTCCAGGAGAGTCCCTTCAGGTCATGTGTTGTTTAGTGATTAAAGAAACAACCTTTGAGGGACCTCCCTGGTGGTCGGGTCCCATGGTTAAGGCTCCATGCTTCCACTGCAGGGGACACAGGTTCCACCCCTGGTTGGGGAACTAAGAGCCCACAGGCTGCGGCATACAGCCAAAGAGTTAAAAAACAAAACACAGCCAAAAAGTTAAAAAAAGAAGAATGAAAGAAAAGGAAGAAACAACGTTTGAGCACCTCCTAGTGCTTCTCTTGCACCAGGGGCTCCTTTGGGACCCAGTGGGGGCTTCCCATCAAGCTGCTGGTCTGCTGGGGGCCAGATGGGCATGTAATCAACAATTCTACAAGTAGTAGAGGAAAGCCTCAGATACTCTGAGAGCAGAGTCTTGGTGGATTCAGGAAAGGCTTCCTGGGGGAAGGGACTTTGCAAATGGAGACCTGAGAAAGCCCCGTTCTGGGACGGGGGGCAGGGAAACGCATGTCCCAGCTACAGTGTGTGGAGCACTAGTTTTGTGCTGGGCAGCATCTGAGCCACCCTTTCTGCCAGGTCCTGCGGTCCCCGTTCGACAACTGCAGAAACTGAGGCGCAGGCACTTAGGCAGAGTCACCTGACTGGCAGAGCCCGTGCTCTGAACCAGCTGTTGGCAGACTTTCTGTGAAGAGGGCGAAATCTTTAGGTGTTATGGGCATATGGTCTTTGTCGCAACTACCTTGCTGTTACAGCTAGAAAGCAGCTGTAGACTCACCAGGTGAGGCTGCGTTCCATTAAATTTGATTCACAAAAAAAAAAAAAAATTTGATTCACAAAAACAGATCACAGGGTGGATTTGGCTCATAGGCTGTAGTTGCTGACTGCCACTCTTAACCACTGTGCCTGACTGTCTCTTGGGTCCATGAGAAGGGCTTGTGCAAAGGGCCTGGGGTGAGAGAAAGACAGGGCAGCTGGGAAACTACGCACAGAGTGGCTGGGTCCAGATTGTGAGGGGGGAGTCAGGAGGGATGGGACTGGGGAGGTGGACAGGGTAGACCACCAGGGGCCTGGAAGACCCACTGTAGGCCTGGACTTTGTCCTGAGGGCAGTGGGGGATCTTGGGAGGGTTCTGAGCAAGGTGGTGGGCAGTTCTGTTTGTGCTTTAGCAGATCCCTCTGTTGCATGTGAAGGCTGGATGGGAGGGGTGAGACCAGAGCCAGGGAGGAAGCTGGAGTGGGATCTGGGTGGGAAAGGATAAGCATGGACCAGGGCAGGGGCTGTGGGTTTGGGGAGGAAGGAATGGATTCATGAGATATTCAGGGGGATCGGCTGTGGCTGGATGGGTGAGGGGAGATGAATACCCAAGATGGCCCAGGTTTCTGGCTCCAGTGATGCAGTAGATGAGGAGATGGGGGCCCAAAGAGGAAAGGGTTTGGTAGAAGATGCTTAGGCTGTTTGAGACGTGTGACTGTGGGGTCCCATGGGAGATCCAGGAGACATCCAGGAGGCCACTGGACACAGGGGTCAGTAAGTGCCATGTTAGTCGTGCAAAGAGCCTGGGTGGGGTAGGACAAAGACAAGGCGCCTAGGCCGCCTCTTCACTGTCCCCCAGGTATTCGACGTGGCCCCACCTGGAGTCCGGAAGTGCATCCTCTCCACCAACATTGCTGAGACCTCAGTCACCATTGACGGCATCCGCTTCGTGGTAGATTCTGGTAAGGGCGCCCCCTGGCGTCCCCCAGGGCCTGGCGAGATGTGGGGTTGGAGATGTGCGCGTGGAGGGAGGGAGCCCCACACAGAGGTAGGGAGGTGGTAGTGTTTCGGGATGTGGAGCAGTGGCAGCATCTTAGTCTCGCTCAGGCCTTCCAGGCTTGCCCCTGCCTCAGGGCCTTTGCACTTACCGTTGTCTCTGCTGAGAGCTGTCTTTCCCCGAGATATCCACATGGCTCACTCCCTCACCTCATTGTAGGACCTGTGCAAATGTCTCCCCAGTAGAGAAGCCCCCCTTGTCCATGTTATCTAAGTGATCTTTCACTGTCACCTCCCTCATGAGGCTTTATTTTTCTTCATAGTGTGGGGCATTATATTTTACATCCCAGCTAGACTCTTTTCTGAAAAGCCAGCATTGCTTAGTGGTGAGGAGACACTGGAACCAGCCTGGCCGGGTACCCTGCTGGCCATGTGACCAAGGTCTGACACTCTCAGTAGGTCATTTTGCTCATTTGTAAAATGACAGTAATAATAGCACCTCCTTCAGGTTGTGAGGATTAGAAGAGTTAATACACTCGGGGGCTGAGGCCAGTACCTGGCACAGCGTGAATGAATGCTCAATACATGTTAGCAGTTACCTTACTGTATTGAATCTGGTACCATTGATGAGAAAAGATAAGGAAATGGCAAACCACTCCAGTATCCTTGCCTGGAAAATCCCATGGACAGAGGAGTGGTGGGCTGCAGTCCATGGGGTTGCAGAGAATTGGGCACGAGTGAGCGACTAACACACACATAATTTTATGTACTGTTAGAAAATGCTGTCTGTTAATGAATGAGATGTCACTGATTTTAAGGTGTATTCCATTTTTAGAGACAAAAAAGCGTGGTCTTGAATTGATGAAATCTGGTGCTCTGTTCTGCCCCGTGAATGAAGGGACCTTTGTTTTGTTCACAGCTGTGTCCCTAGTCCATAGTACTGTGCCTGCACCTGCCTGTGTGCTTAGCTGCTCAGTCGTGTCTGACTGTTTGCAGCCCCATGGACTGTAGCCCGCTAGGCTCCTCTGTCCATGGGATTCTCCAGGCGAATGCTGGAGTGGGTTGCCATGCCCTCCTCCAGGAGATCTTCCCAACCCAGGTCTCCTGCATTGCAGGCAGGTTCTTTACCATCTCAGCCATCAGGGAAGCCTGGCACCTAGTAGGTGTTAATAAAATTTGTTGGATGACTAAATCCCTGAATAAAGAAAGGCTTGAAGAAGTAAATGAAAATATGCATGAATGAAGAAACTGAAGAATACATTAACAGAATGGTAGAGTGGGGCCCAAACTAAGCTCTGGGATAGTGTTACTGGAACAGAGTCCGAAGTGAGGTGTCAGTGAATGAATGGCTGGGTCAAGGGCTAGGCACGCGGAGGGCCCACATGGGTCCTGCACACATCTTTCCTTCCCTTCCTGCTCCCCTCCTGCCCACCCAGGGAAGGTGAAGGAGATGAGCTACGACCCACAGGCCAAACTGCAGCGGCTGCAGGAATTCTGGATCAGTCAGGCCAGTGCCGAGCAGCGTAAGGGCCGGGCGGGCCGCACAGGCCCCGGCGTCTGCTTCCGCCTCTATGCTGAATCAGACTACGATGCCTTCGCCCCCTACCCTGTCCCGGAGATTCGGAGGGTTGCCCTGGATGCATTGGTGCTTCAGGTAAGTCAAGGTCAGAGAGGAGACTGAATCCTGAATGCTGGTGCCAGAGAGGAATCCAGGAGATATTTAGACAGGGTTTCAGGATCAGGAAGGGGAGGGTGGGCCAGGCCACAGAGGGGAACTCATTCCTTCCAAATGTCAGATCCCATGTTGGGGTGGAAACTGTTCCCCACAGTCCACAGGGTCATGGGAAGAACCTTGTGACTCAACTAGAATGTTTTCAGCTGTAACAGAAAACCCATCAGGAAGTGGCTTTCTACTTTTTTTAGGAAGTGGCTTTTAAAACTGGGGTTTCTCAATATGCTTTATGTCATGGCTTGTATCTCAGTATTTAGTTTTGCTTCGATTAGGCTTCTGTGACAAATAGACCCACGTGCATAACAGCCAGCACAGCAGAATGTTAGTCCCTGGATTGGTAGGCAGTTTCCTTTATTCAAAGGTGTTGTTTAGTCACTAAGTCATATCTGACTCTCTTGCTACCCTATGGACTGTAGCCCGCTAAGCTCCTCTGTCCATGGGATTTCTGAGGCAAGAATATTGGAGAGGGTTCCCATTTCCTTCTCCAGGGGATCTTCCCGACCCAGGGATTGAACCCGTATCTCCTGCATTGGCAGGTGGATTCTTTACAGCTGAGCTACTGGGAAACCCTTATTCAGAAACCCGGGCCTTTTCTCTTTTGTGGCTGCATCATCTCCCCAGGGCCTTCATCATTTGTGTCAGCCTGTGAGGGGGAGAGAGCATGGGACTTGGGTTTAGGAGGGTGAGGGTGGGTCCACAGTGATGTACCTCCCTTCCACTCACCTGGTGAGAGCTCACAGCCATGTCTCACTGCAGGGGAGGCTGGGAAGTGTAGTCCTGCGCTCCGGAAGAAGCAGGGAAGGAAAGTGGGCGGCATGTGCCGCGGGCTCACACGTGCCCAGGCGGGGGAGTGACATGAACCAGCCCCCTTCCTAAGGGTGATGCACACTGATAGTCTGTATTTGCTTGATTTCCTTTGGAAAAAGTGCCAGTTCTGACCCACTTCTTGGAGTTTCCTGACTCATATAACCCGCTGTTTGAAAAATATTGGCTTGAACAAAATTTCACATAATGAGAAACCTTGAGATAAGGAGGTTACAGCCTTGGTTGTTTAAACAGATCGGTGATGTCATACAGTATCAGGCTTTTTAAAATTTATGTATTTATTTATAATTTCTATTTTTGAGCTGGGTCTCGTGGCACGTGGGGTCTTAGCTCCCCGACCAGGGATTGGATTTGTACCCCTGCAGTGGAGGCTTCCCTGGTGGCTCAGCTGGTAAAGAATCCACCTGCAATGCTGGAGACCCTGGTTCAATTCCTGGGCCAGGAAGATCCCCTGGAGAAGGGATAGGCTACCCACTCCAGTATTTGGGGGCTTCCCTGGTGGCTGAGACAGTAAAGAATCCACCTGCAGTGCGGGACACCTGGTTTGATCCCTGGGTTGGGAAGATCCCCTGGAGGAGGGCATGGCAACCCACTCCAGTATTCTTGCCTGGAGAATCCTCATGGACAGAGGAGCCTGGCAGGCTAGCTACAGTCCATGGGGTCGCAAAAAGTTGGACACGACTAAGTGATTAAGCACAGCCCAGCCGCTGCAGTGGAAGCTCGGAGTTTTAACCACTGGACCGCCAGGGTTTTTTCTAGAGCTCCAACCTCAGCTTAGCAGCAGCTCTCCTAATATCAGTGATGATGATGATGATGATGATAGAAAATAATTTTACCTAGTATTTCTCATGTTCTGGGCTCTGTTCTAAGTTATATATATATAACTGTTTTGATCCTCACACAACCTTTGTGTAGTAAGTAAACTTATTCTAATTTATGGATGAGAAAAAGGATGCACAGAGAGGTAAAGTACCTTGATCCACCTGGCTTTGCTGGCAAGGGGTAGAGCCGGATTCATCTGGGGCCCTCAGGCTCCAGAGGCTGCCTCACGACTGCCCCTCCACTCTGGTAGCCATGGGGAGCACCTCCTCCGTCTTTGCTTGTTTGGCAGCAGAAGCAATGAACTGCCCCTCTTTGTGGGTCTCATTTTTTAAAAGTAATTTTATTTTTATTTTTGGCTGCACTGGGTCTTTGTTGCCGTACAGGCGTTTCGCTTGTTGTGGCTCCGGGGCTTCTCCTTGCGGTGGCTTCTCTCGTTGCAGAGCAAGGGCTGCAGGGCTGTCCGGCTTTGGTGGTTGCAGCTCCCGGGCTCTAGAGCGCAGGCTCAGTCGCTCTGGCTTAGTTGCTCTGGGACAGGTGGGATCTTCCCAGGCCAGGGATCAAGCCAGTGTCTCCTGCATTGGCAGGCAGATTCTTTACCACTGAGCCACCGGGGAAGCCCCTGTGGGTCTTGTTTTTTTAAGGCCATGGCAACTTTGCAGCCACCTTGGCCGGCCTCCCATCCTGCCTTCCACTCTGTGACCTGTAATTGTCCAGGAGGAAGGGAGGGAGGGCATTGCCTGACTGGATCAGAGCAGTGATTCGCAGTCCCAGTTACATGTTGGAATCACTGCAGTGCCTAAAAGTAAAAAATCATCCGTGCTTTATCCCCCTACCCAGAACTCCTAATTTGAAGGTCTTTTAACAAGTGCTAGTGGTCTGCCAGACAGCACCAGGGCTCGGTAACCAGGGAGGACAGTGGGATGGCTGGTTGAGGGCTGGATGGCCTAGAACTTCCGGTGGCCTCCAGATCAGGGCCAGGGGAGAAGTCACTTCTCCCAGAGACTTTGCCTGAGTCCCTGGCTCTCTGAGCTCTGTCCTCACTCTCTCAGGGTCACATGAGCCCCCACGCCAGCCTTACCTTCATCCCCTCACCAGAGGAGTGCTGTTTTCCCTGAGCCGTGCTGGGTCACCTCTTCCTCCCCACGAGCCCCTCTGTGCCACTGAGATGATCAGGATGCTCTTGTTGAAAGTGACAGAAACCCGACTCAAGCTGTTGTTTTCAGAAAAGGGGATTTTATGGATTTGTGAGTCCATGTTGGGGAGGTCAGGCTTAAGAAAAAAATAAAGGATTTCTCCATCTGCTGTGGATTGGCTGCTTTCCAGGCAGTGGGAAAAATAACTTCAGCTGCTTTGGGCTTCCACACTGGGCCCTCAGAACCAGAGTGGGTGCTGGAGCGCCTCTCTCTCAGCTCCAGGTTGCAAAGTCCCAGGGAAGGATTCTGATTGGCCCAGCTCAGGTCACATGCTCATCCCTTTGTCAGTTGCTGTGACACCTCAAATGGTCCAGCTTAGATCATGTGCTTGCTCTGTGGCCAGAGTCTAGGAGAAGAGCTGCTAGGTGGACAGACAGACAGATAATGGTCCGCCTTCCCCACTTCTGTACAGTGAGTCTTGACATTGCATGCATTTTTAAAATTTATTTTAATTTTAATTGGGGGATAATTTCTTCACAACATTGTGTTGGTTTTTGCCATATGCCAACATGAATCAGCCATAGGTATACGTATGTCCCTCCCTCTGGGCGTTTTAAAGTGTCACAGGTCCCCCAGTGTTCCCCAGTGGCTCCTGTGTTCCCCATTCCTGAAGGGATTTGACTGTCATTCCAGATGAAGAGCATGAGCGTGGGGGACCCCCGAACCTTCCCGTTCATCGAGCCCCCACCACCAACCAGCTTGGAGACGGCCATCCTCTACCTCCGGGACCAGGGGGCGCTGGACAGCTCAGAGGCCCTCACCCCCATCGGGTCCCTGCTGGCACAACTGCCAGTGGACGTCGTGATTGGTGAGGACCACCACCCCCCTGGGGGTGATCACGGAGGGTCCTGAAAATGGGTGTGGGACGCTGCTCACTCTCTGAGTGACCTGGAGGCAAGGTTGTTCTGTCTCTGGGCCCTGTCCATTCATTCACAAGTCCTCTGTGCCACACACTGTTCTAGCACCAGGGTTATAGCAGTAAACAAAACAAATGCTTCTTTCCTGTGCCCAGCCCAGCCCCAGCTTCACCCTGGTACCCGCCTTCCTGTGGTTATAAGGATGTCAAAACTGCCAGCCTCTTCCTCTTACTCATCCCTGAGTCATGCCAGCCCCTCCCAAGGAGCTTGCTAACCGAGGCATATTCATCTTCATCTTGCCCAATTCTCCTGACTCAGGACATTCTGTATTTACCAACCAACTATCCACGGCCCAGAGAATAGTCCCAGCTGAGCTCTGCCACCTGGGGCATCATTTCCCAAGCCTGGTGCTCAAGGGAGCTTGCTGCCCACGTCAACGTTAAAGTCCCCATCACTGTGACACGCTGGAGCTGCAGTATGGGCAGCCGGCTGGGTACCGCCCACCCTGAGGGCCACCCATGGCTATGGAAGTGATTTCTGTTTGTGTTACAAGAGGACAGGACAGTGCAGAGAGAATCAGATCTGAGAAGAAACAGAATGTTCTGTGAGCCTTTGCTGTATGTCAGTGTGGAAGACTCTGTGGCCCTTATTTCATTTTCATCTGGTGAGGGTAGGGCCTCAAGGCGTCCCTGTTGTACAGATGAGGAAAACGAGGCTCAGAGAAAGCGCATCCAGGGAGGCACACCCCAGCCAGGCTGGCACCGTTGGTTCCTGGGCCCTGCGGGGCGGGCGGCACAGATGACGTGGTGCTGAGCAGTTCTGGGCCCAGGCGGCTCATCGTCAGTCTTCCTCCGTGCCAGTAAGTGCCCATGCTTCACAGGTGAAACAGTTCATGCTCACAGCACGTAGATGTTGCTGTTAGCCCATTTCACAGATGGAAAAACAGAGGCACCGAGAGGTGGAGGGACTTGCCTGAGGTGACAGAATTAAGGGTTCTGGGACAGCCTTGTTTTTCTGCCCATCTTTATCTTATGAGGCTAGCTGTGTAACAGGAACTTTCTGGAAAGGTAGGCAGGGGAACAGTGAGGATGAGTCAGGTCACTTCCACTGGCAGGTGGAAGCAGTCTTTCATCACGCTGGGAGCTGATTCTGGATGTGATTCTGTCCCCCTGGCTCCCGAGGCCCTCTGGGGGTAAGGTGGAGGGTGGGTCAGGGGTTCCTGAGGAGTGGGGAATGCCATCGGGCACCCAGGAGGCTCAGCGTGGGTCCTCCCCCAGGAAAGATGCTGATCCTGGGCTCCATGTTCCACCTGGCCGAGCCCGTGCTCACCATTGCTGCTGCCCTCAGTGTCCAGACGCCCTTCACCCGCACCACCCAGAGCAACCCCGAGTGCGCGGCGGCACGGCGGCCCCTGGAGAGTGACCAGGGCGACCCCTTCACACTCTTCAATGTCTTCAACACCTGGGTGCAGGTGAGCTTGGCAGCACCCTCCCCCACCCCAGCTGCCTGGCTGTCATTCTGCATGGAATCAGGGCTTTGTGCTCCACCCGCACCCCAGGGAGGACCCCTGAGGCCCCCACAGGCCAGGCCTGGCTGGGGAGAACCCCGAATCCACTTTTCATGGGACGAGCATGTGCTGAGGGGAGCCTGGGGTCTCTAAGCACTGACTAAAGCCAGCGGTGTCGGCTTTTTAGATGCCTTAGAGAGTATCTGTGTATTGAACACATGTTCCCTGACCAGGCCTGGTCCTGTCCTGAGCTGTGCTAGGGACCCGGTAGTGACTAAACTCACCTGGCCCTGCCCTCCTGCAACTCCCAGTCCAGTGCAGGGAGGCAGACCGTCCCTGGACAGTGACCACCCAGAATGGGCTGCAGTGGGGAGTCCCCGGGGCTCAGAGAGCCCCAGAGGGCTGCCTGACCCTTAGTAGTCTGGGAGAACTTCCTGTAGGAGGAGGCATTGAGGCTGAGACTTGGAAGAAGGAGAGCAGTATCGTTGAGGGAGGGCTGACAGGTCTCCTGCCAGCCTCACATCTTCCCAGTGGCTGATGTTGGGGTCTTGTCTAGGTGGTGGGTCAGCACCCCCACCTCTTCCCTCGGCTGGTCAGGCCCTGACCTCCTGGGGTCTGGACCTCCACTCAGGTGAAATCTGAACGGGGCAGAAACTCACGCAAGTGGTGCCGCCACCGTGGCATTGAGGAGCACCGGCTGTACGAGATGGCCAACCTGCGGCGCCAGTTCAAGGTGAGGCCTGGGAGAAGGGGTGGGGGCCGGCCCCCCTGGGGAAGGCAGCCAGGAACAAACTTGGGGCATGGGGGTGGGAGGAGGTAGAGGGAGAGTATGCGTGAACACCCTCCACGGCGTGGCATCTCCTCTTCTCCGACAGCATAGTCAGAGCCCCTCCCCACACCCACCTCCCCCACCATCACATGGCTAGGTGTCGGATGGGGCCAGGGCAAAGGGGTGAAAATCCAGGAGGGCTTCCTGGAGGGGTGGACAAGGTCTGCTGTCACGAGTCACATCCTCACGAAGAGCCTTGTTCTCGAGCTGGGGTGCTGACGTGGCCACGCAGGCCGAGTGCTGGGAGGTGTGGAGCATGGGCTAGGGTGGGTGGGCTTCAGTAGTGTTGGTTGGAGGCACCATCTGGAGCAGGACACCTCAGCACTGAATCTGAGCTCTGCTGCTTGCTAGCGGTTCAACTGCCGGCAAGTTACTGGGCCTCTCAGGGCCTCAGCTTCTCCGTTAGAAAATGGGGAAGCAAAAAATAGCCCTGCCTCCAGCATTCCTGTGAGGACTAAATGAGTTAATACATTGTGGTTTTTTAAATATCTACTTTTTCCTTTATTTGGGCCGTGCTAGGTCTTCATTGCTGAGCGCAGGCTTTCTCTAGTTGCTGCGAGAGGGCTACTCTAGTTGTGGTGCTCGGGCTTCTCACTGCCATGGCTTCACTTGTGGAGCACGGGCTCTAGGGTGGGTGGGCTTCAGGAGTCGGGGCACCGGACTTAGTTACTCTGCAGCATGTGGGATCTTCCCAGACCAGGGGCGAACTGATGTCCCCTGCATCGCACGGTGGTGGATTTGTAACCACTGGACCACCAGGTAATCCCTGCAATTTTTATTGTTATTATTAAGATGTGGTTCTGCAGGTGGTTTGTGTCATTAATATTCCACGGGCATCTTTCCCTTCGAACACAAAAAGGCTCTGGTGCTGGGGAATTCTAGCCCCCTGTTGTGTGACATGCCACGGAATGAAAATAAAATAAAAACAGCCTCTGATGTAGCCATTCCCCTTGGCTGCAGACCTCGGAGTGTGCAGTCACCACCAAGGCCTCCCGTGCGTTAACGTGTCCCCACATTCAGACATCCCCTTCGTACTTGACATCATCTCTCAATGTCTCTGACTTTCTAAAGAGTGTTGGTTCAACCTTTGTTGGGCCCCAGATGCTGAGAAACGGGAGAAAAGTGGGGGTGCTTTTCCTTCTCTCACTCTCTGTGTCCTATGAGATATCCTGCCTCTTCTCATTGGTTGAGGCTCAATGAGAAACAGAGGGTCAATCCACCTGGGTCCCTGGAATGCTCTTTCTGGAGGCGTGGGCAGGAGGTCTCTCAGGGGCGTTGGAATCATGGGGAGGGTCCATGATTTCTAGATTCCTCACCCCGGAGATTCTGATTCAGTCGTTCTGGGTGGGGCGCAGGTCTTGATATTTCTTTTTTTAAATAATTTTATTTATTTATGACTGTGCTGGATCTTCGTTGCAGCGAGCGGGGGCTACTCTCTAGTTGCGGTGCGCAGACTTCTCTTGCTGCAGGGCACGGGCTCCAGGGTGTGTGGGCTCAGTAACTGAGGCTCCCCGGCTCTAGAGCGTAGGCTAAGCAGTTGTGGTGCAGAGGCTTAGTTGCTCAGAGGCATGTGGGACCTTCCCGGATCAGGGATCGAACCTGAGTCTCCTGCATTGGCAGGTGGGTTCTTTACCACTGGGTCACCAGGGAAGCCCTGGTATTTGTGACAACTTCCCAGATGATCCCAGATGCTGCTGCTGTTATTGGCCAAAGCACCACACTCTGAGAAGTGTTTTATTGTAGGAACCTCAAGGGGCTGGTGCAGGCCTGGAGGGGCAGGTGGGCATGTAACCAGAGCCCGGGGATAGCTGGGTGGAGAGGGCGTGTGACCTGAGCCCCCAGCGAGGACCCGGCATGGTAATGATCACTCGGCCTCCTCTCCTCTCTCCTGTCCCCCAGCCTGGGTGTTCCGTTGGCCAGCGACGGAGACAGTTCTCTTTCCTAAAACAGTCACGTGCCCAGCACCATGCAAAGAGTTGCTGTTTTTACTTCCCTGACCAGGGATCGAACTTGGGCCCTGGCAGTGAAAGCGCCAAATCCTAACCACTGGACCACACAGAGAATTCCCAGAAAGTGGTTCTCGTATAGCCCCTTTCAGCACCAGCTGGGAGTTCCCAGGAGGGTCCCTGTTTGTCATTTGAGGACAAGGGTGGCTCTGAGGGTGAGGTCATGGGCCAGCCAGCTGCAGGCCCCCAACTGGAACGCGCGTTTGGGCCCAGAGTGCGCCTGACAGTGTCCCTGACTCGGGCTCCATCCACCCCCAGGAGCTTTTGGAGGACCATGGGCTGGTGGCCGGTGCCCGGGCCCCACAGCCGGGGGACAGTTATAGTCGGCTGCAGCAGCGGCGGGAGCGCCAGGCGCTCTACCAGCTGAAGCGCCGGCACGAGGAGGGCGCGGGGCGCAAGCGCAAAGTGCTGCGAGTCCAGGACGACCAGGATGGCTGGTCCAGCGACGAGGACCGGGGCGGCTCAGCCTCCTGGGGGGCTGGCGACAGCGTGGACATCCAGGTGGGGCACCATGGGGCGGTCTGGGGCCTGGGGTGGTGGGGATGGCGTTTATCAGAGTGGGGACTCCTCATCTCAGGAGGTTGGTTTCCGTGGACAGGTGTCTACTGAACCCCTGGGATCCCCAGACCCCAGTTCCAACCCCTTGGGAGACGGGGAGGGCCTTAGGAACCCACCTTCCCCTGTGTTGTCCCCAGGACGTGAAGTTTAAGCTCCGACACAATGTGGAGCAGCTGCAGGTGGCCGCCAGCTCAGCCCAGGCCCTGACTCAGGGCCAGATGGCCCTGCTCAAGCTGGTGCTCAGCCGGGGCCTCTACCCTCAGCTCGCCGTCCCCGACCCGCTCAACAGCGGCCGCAAGGACTCGGACCAGGTGTGTCTCCTTCCTATCCGTGTCTTGTCACCTGTCACCCCTTCCCAGCGCCTGCTCTGTGCTGGGGTTACAGCAGTGACCGAGGCAGCCCTGGCCCTGTCCTTGTGGGGTGCAGTCTAATGATGGGGGCGGGGGAGAGACTCGTGCCCAGACAGTGACCCAGAGTGGGATGGGGACCCAGGGGCTGAGGGGACAGGGGCACAGGTGCCTGAGAGGGAATCAGGGAGGGCTTCCTGGAGGAGGGGGTTTTGCGTTGCGATGAGGAGGGAACTGGCAGCGGGGAGAGCAGGTCTGAGCCTCTGTCCCCTGGCATCCGCCTCCCACTCCTTCAGATCTTCCACACCCAGACCAAGCAGGGCGTCGTGCTGCACCCCACCTGCGTCTTCACCAATAGCCCCGAGGTGCTGCACACGCAGGAGCAGGCGGCCAGGGGCGGCGGCGGGAGCCGAGGTACCGGGAGCCCAGGCGGGGGTGAGGAGAAGCCTTCCGTTGGGGGTGTGCGGGGGCACAATGATCTCAGGGTGCCGCTTGCCATCGGGGGTTACCCCCTCACACCTCCCATCCTCTGCCTTCCCTGGGGCTGCTGACCTGAGACCTGCAGGTCCCAAGAGCCACGCCTGGCTGGGTGGCCTTGGGGGGTCTCCTTTTCGAAAACATTTAGAAAGTTCCAGGCATCTTTTAAGTAGACTGTGATGAACCCTCTGTGACCTTACCCAGGTGCAGCCATCAGCATTTTCCATCCTTGTTTATTCTGTCCCCTTGAGTTTTTTCCCCGTCTTTGCTGGAGCATGTTAAAGCAGGTTCCAGACATCTTACCAGTTAGTAATAATAATAAAAATCCTATTCATAAGGACTGTTATTTTGTATCACCACAGTGCTGTCATCCATCAGCCCTAACAAAATTAGCAACAATTCTTAGTATCACTGCATAGCCGAAATCACATTGAGCTTGGCAGAGTGTTTAAGAATATGCCACAGACATTTTATCCTTATACATGTTCTTTGTGTGGACATTTGAATGGGGCTTCCGTGGTGGCTCAGACGGTAAAGAATCTGCCTGCAGTGCAGGAGACCTGGGTTTGATCCCTGGGTCGGGAAGATCCCCAGGAGAAGGGAATGGCTACCCACTCCAGTATTCTTACCTGGGAAATCCCACCAACAGAGGAGCCTGGCGGGCTACAGTCCATGGGGTCGCAAAGAGTTAGACATGACTGTAGTGACTAACACTTCACTGGAATAGCAGGGGCGGGACAGACCTCCCCTGGGGGGAATGACGGGTGTGTGTTGGTGGGTGGAGTGGGGAGGGGATGCTGAGCTGTCCCCTTGACCCTCTCAGATGACAGGGACAAGATGAGTAGCAAACACCAGCTTGTTGCCTTCGTCTCCCTCCTGGAGACCAACAAACCATACCTGGTGAACTGTGTCCGCATCCCCGCTCTGCAGGTGGGTCCCGCCCCAGCCTCCCCGCCTCCCTCCATGGCACTGACTGCCGGGTGCCATGGCTGTGTTCCTTGGGGCAGGGGCCCCGGGGGTGGGGGCGGGCCTGGAGGAGCCGTCTGCCCCCAGGCTGGCTGCTGTCTCCTCTTCCTGGTATCCAGTCATTACTGGCCGAGTGCCTGCCCGGTGCCAGCACTGGGGAAGACATGCAAGGCAGAACCTGGTCCCTGCCCCGCCGGAGTTCACATCTCACTGGGAAGGGTGGGCAGCCGCAATAAACACCGTGCCACCGTGAATGATAGAGCAGAGCGCAAAGAACAGGGTGAAGGGGCTGGGGAGGGGAGGGTGGGGAAGGGGGCAGGCTCTAGTATGGGATTAGGCCATCTGGGTGGGCCTCACTGAGAAGGTGCAGTCAGGCAAAGGCCTGAACGTGGGAGGGGCTGTAGGGATATCTGGGGGAAGAGCGACCTAGGCAGGGGGAAGAGCAAGTGCAAAGACCCTGGGGCACCACATGCGCGGTGTGAACAGGGAATGGCTGGAGCAGAGTCGGTGGGGGGGAGAGGCTGAGGTGAAGTCAGGGAGGAGGGTGAGACCAGATCTCCCTGGTCCCCACCACCAGAGGGTTCTGAGCAGAGCTGGATCAGGGACTGACATGGGGCAGAGTCCGCGAGCCCAGCAGGGAGGCGACTGCAGTCGTAGGACAGGAGTGGATGGTGGTGGTGACCGAGGATGGGGGTGGGTGAATGGGGGGCGGGCAGGAGCCCAGTCGGGCGGGGGCCGCTCTAAGATGGCGTCACGCCTGTCCACTGCTTTCTGTCTCCTGTCCCCTCTCTTCCAGTCCCTCCTGCTGTTCAGCCGGTCCCTGGACACCAATGGCGACTGCTCCCGCCTAGTGGCCGACGGCTGGCTGGAGCTCCAGCTCGCAGACACCGAGAGTGCTGTCCGGCTCCTGGCGGCTTCCCTGCGGCTCCGGGCCCACTGGGAAAGCTCCCTGGACCGGCAGCTGGCCCGCCAGGCCCGGCGGCGGCTGGAGAACGAAGAGGAGGAGGAGGAAGCCCCTGTCAGCCATGAGGAGGTGGCAGCTCTGAGCCGGGAGCTGTTGCAGTTCATGACATCCAAGGTACCCGCCCCTGGGCACCTGCCCCCTTGGCTGGAGGGGCCGTCAGCCACAGGGATGAAGGCTCCGGAGGGCCCTGGCTTCTGGCTCATCGAGATGCCCACATTTGGGGCTTTTCAAACCAGAGAGGTTTATGACAGGCTCAAGGTCACACAGCTGGTAAGGGTGAACCCAAGATTTGACCCCAGGAGCCACCCCATTAAGCCCTGCAGCCCTTATTCAACGATGCGCAAGAATACCTGCTGCATCTGGGGTGCAGGTTACCCCTTAGTAGCGGTTAAGGGTGTGCATGATATGAGAGAGAAGCTGTGAGGTGCATGGAAGACAGATGGGGAGAATTGGACAGAGCATGCTTGAAACCGAACCCCGACTTCTTTTTGTGCTGTGCGGATTGAGAATAACTTTTGATTCTACTACACATGGGTGTGGTGGGACCCAGAGGACTGGAGAAAGGGGAACTGGCTGACATGACAGAGGAGAAGGGGCAAGGTGGCCACACTTGAAGGTCAGACTTGAGGTCTGAATGTGTTCCCACAAGGGATGAGGACAGAAGCGGACTGGGGAAAGCAGGTAAGGGAGTGTTCTAGACAAGCCTTTGGTCATGAATATCTGAAACCAGGGTGTGAGTGGCTTAAGCAATTTACCCCCATAACTGAGAAGTCCAGTGGTGGACTTCAGGCACAGCTGGATCCAGGTGCTCCCATTATGTCTACCTGTCTCCTGTCTGCTGATAGAGTCTGTCTGCTCTATCTCCTGTCTCTCTCTGCTCAGGTTTCCTACAGCGTCCGGCGGCTCACAGGGCTGGAAGTCCAGAACCTCTATGTGGGACCCCAGACCATCACGGCTGCCCCCAGTCTCCCTGGCCTCTTTGGCAACTCTACCCCTTCCCCCCACCCCACCAAAGGGGGCTACGCAGTCACTGACTTCCTTACCTACAACTGCCTCACGGTGAGCATGGATGTGCACCTTGGCCCCTTGTCCTCCTGCCCCTGAGAGTGGGATTTTAGAGATTCCCCCCGGCACCCTCAACCACATTCCAGCTTAGTCCAGGGATGCAGTTTCAGAAAGGGCCTGCCAGTCTGGAGGACTTCTGGGAAGGTCCCAGGCTGGTGGTGGGGAGCGGGGCAGGGAGCCAAGCCCTGACACAGCCCGACTGTCACAGAGCGATGCCGACCTGTACAGCGACTGTCTCCGCACTTTCTGGACCTGCCCGCACTGCGGCTTGCACATGCCCCTGACGCCCCTGGAGCGCATCGCCCATGAGAACACCTGCCCCGAGGCCCCGCAGGACGGCCCCCCAGGTGAGGCTGGCGCAGGGCCCGGATGCCTGTGTCCGCCCAGCTGTCTGTGCAGTCTGCATCTGGGCGTTTGCTCCCCACTCTGGGGATCCACAACCTCAACCCTCTGCCTGGCTGGTGCCACACATGGGCTTTGTCACTGAGACCCAGAGCCCGGGACGAGGAGGGCCTGGAGCCAGCTCATTCTCGTGTCTCTGTCTGTCTCTCTCCGTCTCTGTCGCCTCCTCTCTCATCTGCCTCTGCGTTTCTGTTTCTCTTTTTCTCTGTTGTCTCCAAGCCGTCTCTGCCTTGGCCACATCCACCCTGTTGTCACCTGGAGAATGCTGCAGCGCGTAGACCTGGGCAGAGCCTGCTGTGGAGCATCCCACGTCACATGCTGGCGCTCACGGGGAGATGGCTGCGGGGCCATGTGGTCCCCCCCAGGGCTCTCTCTGTTTCTCTTTCAGTCTCTGTGTCTCCACTTGTGTCTTTGTCTCTCTTACCCGTGGGGACACATTGTAAAGACTTGCCTCTCTGTGTATTAATCAGGGAAGGCTTCCTGAAGGAGGCAGAGCTGGAATTCCCCAGAGGCCAGGAGAGAGCCTGAGCCGCAGAGTTTCCTGGTATTTGGGTGGGGGTGAGAGCACGCAGTGAAGCGTCCCCCTCAACCCCCTTCTCCTCTCCCCTAGGGGCTGAGGAAGCTGCCCCCGAGCTCCTCCAGAAGGCATCTGCCCTGCAGAAGCCCTACCACTGTGAGGCCTGCCAGAAGGACTTTCTGTTTACGCCCACGGAAATTCTGCGGCACCGGAGGCAGCACGTGTGAGCCCAGCCTGTCCTGGACCAGGGCCAAGACCAGGACTGCTGCCCTCGCTCCCAGCCTAGGCTCGGAACTCTGACCTGGGCCCAGCCTGTGAATAAACTCTCACTGATGGACTCAGGTCTTTAAGCCTGCCCATCCTTAAAGTGGGCATCCCAGGTGGCGCAGTGGTAAAAAACCTGCCTGCCAATGCAAGAGACGCAGGGAAGGCGGGTTGGATCCCTGGGTCAGGAAGATCCCCTGGAGGAGGAGATGGCAACCCACTCCAGTATTTTTGCCTGGAGACTCCCCATGGACAGAGGAGCCTGGCAGGCTGTAGTCCATGGGGTCGCATAGACATGACTGAGCACGTGTGCACACACATCCAGAAATCAGCAGCCATCTCTGCTGGTCCTCCCCGTGGTCTGACTCATCCCTCCTATTGCAGCGGCCACCTGATGCGTCCTGGGGTAAATCCCGGGAGTTGAGGCTGAGCAGGGACCTCAGATTGGAGAAGGCAATGGCAACCCACTGCAGTATTCTTGCCTGGAGAATCCCAGGGATAGAGGAGCCTGGTGGGCTGCCATCTATGGGGTCGCACAGAGTCAGACATGACTGAAGCAACTTAGCAGCAGCAGCAGCAGCAGCAGCAGGGACCTCAGGCTGCAGGTCCAGGGTCTGATCGCCCCTGGTGACTGCTCCCCCCGAGTCTATCCTCATGGCCTCTGCTTTCCCTCGAACTCGGAGACCCCGGATTGGCCCATTCTCATGTGCAGCTGGGAGGGGTGGGGTCAGTGTTCTGTGGGCCCACGGGCTGCCTGGTCATGGGGGCCGTTCTGCTGTGCTGTCCGTGGGCAGTTCTCAGCCATCCCCTCGGGACTCGCCGACCATGTCTCCCCCACGGACATGAAAAGGAGAGGGACTAATAAAAATAAATGGAAAAAAAAAAAAGGAATGCTGTGAACAATGATGTGATTAAATTCTATGACTCAGGTTGAAATCTGGGTGATGGCAGGATGGATGTGGTCAAGAGAGAGACCATCATGGGGTAGAGGAGAGACCAAGAGACACAGCAAGAAAGAAAGAGAGAGACAAACTATCTGAACTCAAGAAGAAATAGATAAACTGCACGATGCTATGTGTGGGCTTGGCCAAAAACTTCATTTGGGTTTTTCATAGCAGCCTACGAAAAAACTCGAATGAACTTTTGGCCAACTTAATGCTAAGGCAATTTAATTCATAGTTAGGGACGCAGAGGACAGGCTTGGATGGGTTCACTGGTGACCTCCAGCAGACAGGGACTGAAGACAAGACACTCAACAACAGCTCATTCACAGTGTGGAAGAGGACGCCTCTGGGCCAGCACTGCCCTGATGTCAAAGCCAGACCCAGAACCGCTTCCTGGGGGTTTAGCAATTCACAATGCCACAGATAAAAAGAACAGTAGTACATCATGGCCAGGCGCATTTCTCTAGTGATACAGAGTCGATTTAACGTTTGAGAGTCAATTAATGTGATTCACCCTATTAAAAACAGAAAGGGCATTTGACAAATTTCAACACCTTTTGGCCTTGGATAAAGGCCCTTAACCTCTCTGCTCCAGCGTTTTTTTCCTCTGACGAATGCAGCTAAACTTTTTCTCAGAAGGTTCATTTTGATGCAGAAGTCTTGGACTTAAGTCTAATAATTTTTTTTTAAACATTTATTTTTATTTATTTGGCTGCATAGAATCTTAGTTGTGGCATGTGGGATCTAGTTCCCTGACCAGGGATCGAACCCAGCCCACCTGTATCAGGAGTGCAGAGTCTTAGCCACTGGACCACCAGGGAGTTCCCTTAAGTCTAATAATTAAATAAATATAAAAATAAACAATTTGAATCATTAATAATATAAATCAATAATATAATATAAATCAAAATTAGAAAACTGCTCTACAAAAGATACTAAGAAAAATAACAAAAAATGCAAAGGCAAGTGTAGACATGGAGAAAATACTATATATATGACAAATGTGTCATATATAATTAACTGTACATATTACATAAATATAGAAACTATGTTGTACCAAAAAATTCAAATCAATAAGACAACTACTTTATAAGTGGCAAATACTGAATATAAACCCCAAAAATAGAAAAACACGGTTAATAAGCCCATGAAAAAATACTTGCCATCATTAGCCGTCAGGGATGCAATTAAAACTGCAATAAATATCACAGTAACGCTCATTAGAATGATTAACATAAAAAACCAAATGCTAAGTCAGTATGTGGCACAAGCAGAGCTCCCATACATTGCTGGTGGGAGCGTTAATTGGTAAAACGACTGGGAAAAAAATTCGAGAATCTCCTAAAATTGAACCTGGGCACGTTCTCTATGACCTGGCAGTTCCACTTGTAAACACACACTCCACAGAAACCCACAAGGGTATTGTTGGCAATAGCATTATTTGTAACTAGAACCCCACCAAATGCCTATTGACAAAAGAATAGTTAAATCGTGATCAATTCTTAGAACAGAAGGGCCTAAACCACAGCTCCATGCATCCTAATGGGGGCTGGGGACGGAGCGGGGCAACACCAGCCAGGCTGCTGGAGGGGGCGCTCAAGCTCTGTTTCTTGGTCTGGATGCTGGTGGCACAGGTAGGTTTCATTTTCTGGGAAAACTCACTAAGCCAAAGATCCATGCATTTTTCTGTATATCATGCTTCAAGAGCAAATTTTAAAAGGTTGGTGAATGAATGCCTATCAACTTTGCATTTTGAAAGATCCTGCTACACTGAAGTTGTACAAATTCCCCTCAAAGAAGATGAAAGCACCCATTTCCCCAACAGCCTCGCCAGCATTTAATCCGGGTCAATCTGGGTCACCTATCAGAATAGACTTGTTTCCCTGGGGAACTAATGAATAGTAAGAGCTTCTGGAACTGTGAAGGAAGGGCCTTAACACCGTTGAGGAGCTGTAACCCAGTTCTGATAGATGTTCTTACGGCCGTCTCTGGGCATTTAGTTTCCTCCCTTCTTTCACATATTTTAAAATCTTTTGAAATTTATTTTATGTTTATTTTTGGTTGCACTGGGTCTTCGTTTCTGTGCTCAGTCTTTCTCTAATAGGAGCGGGGGCTGCTCTTCATTGCAGTGTGCTGGCTTCTCGTTGCCACGGCTTCTCTTATTCCAGAGAACAGACTCGAGCTCAGGCTCAGTAGTTGTGACCCACAGGTTTAGTTTCTCCGTGGCATGTGGAATCTTCCCGGACCAGGGATCAACACACATCCCCTGCATTGGCAGGCAGATTCTTACCCACTGTGCCACCAGGGAAATCCCTATTTCTCAAGTTTTAATACCTTGAGTTGGGAAGTCATTTTCAGGGGCCATAACAGAAAAAGGAATAGAGACAATAAAGGAATGGAAACGTTTTGAGGGGGCAAAGTCATCATAAACAAAGCCAGAAGACAAGCAGCAGACTGGGAGAGGTGTTTGTAACATCTATGATGAATTGAAGCTTAAGGTCTAGAATATATAAAGAGCTGCTCCAAACCAATAAGAAAATGACAAAGAGCCTAGGAAGGACAGAGTCAAAAGTTTTGAGTCCACACAGAAGAGGAAATAGAAATGGCCCAGAATAATGTACAAAGATGCTAAGATTCACTTGCAATAGGGAGAAACAAGAATAGTTAATTCAGTACAGCCTGTTTGGAAGGACCTTCAGGAGAATCTATCAAATGACCTGTAGAAATGCCCCTTCCCTTGGACCAGTGATTCCACCTCCAGGAAGTTATCCTATAGACACACACATATGTCTGGAAATAACATATGTTCAAGGATATTCATGCCAGCTTTATTTGTAGGAGCAAAAGATGGGAAACAGCTTAAATGTCTCTCCACATGAAACTGCTTAAATATTAATAAAACCCACCCAATGTAATGGACCACTATGCAGACATGCCAAACAAAAGCAGGCTTTGTACTGACACAAAAAATATCTCCAAGTTATACTAAGTGAAAGCGAGCAAGTTACAGAACCATGTGTCAAATGATCCCAATTTTTGAAAAATGAAAACATTTTGTTTGCAAGCATGCATTCTTAGTCGTGTCCAACTGTTTGCAACCCCATGGCCTGCCAGCTCTGCTGTTCATGGGATTCTCCAAACAAGAATACTGGCGCAGGTTGCAATTTCTTCCTCCAGGGGATCGTCTCAACCCAGGCATCAAATCCACATCTATTATGTCTCCTACATTGGTAGGCGGATTCTTTACCCCAGCCACCCACCCACCCACCCGGGAAGCCCTTTGTTTGCATACGCTCACATAACTGAATAGAATTACACACCAGCTGTAACAGATTCACAGCGAACTTAACTAATGGTCATCTCTGCAGAGGGGAGGGAGGGAGAGGAGGGGAGGGGAGGCAGGAAAGAGTGATTTTTCTTTTTAAATGTATTGAGGTCCAGTTTACATACAATAAAATGTCAGTTCATTTTGGCAAACACACCTGTGTAACCACTATCCCAATCAACACAGAACATTTTCAACACTCCAGAAAGTTCCATGGTTCCTGCTTCTTATGGTCAGCGTCTTACGCCAGCCTCAGCCGCAGGCTGATCTTTTCTCTGTCACCATTTATTAGATTTCTCTTTTCTAGAATTTCACATAAATGGAATCATACAGCATGTCCTTTTTGTGGTATTCCATTGTCTGAATATTCCACAGACTCTGCATTCTCTAAATGTTTGGGTTATTTCCAGTGGGGAGGTGCTATTTATGAAATAAAGTTGCTATGAATGTTTAAATGTAAGGTTTCATGTGGTCCTGTTTTCATTTCTCTTGGGTTAACACTTAATGGCCAGAATTGCTGCCCTAGGTAATTGCCACACTTAAGGTGAGTGTGTATTTACTTTTAAAAGAAACTGCTAAGCAGTTTTCAAAGTGGTTCATCCATTTACCTTCCCTCTCACAGTATGAGTGTTCCAGTAGATCCACTTTGTGGTTTTTAATTTTCATTTCTCTGTTCCCCAATGACAAATGATGA